GGTGAGCTCCCGTTGCCCGGTCCCTGCTCCTGCCAACCTAGCAGTTTGAACGCACCTCAAAGTGCAAGTAGATAAATAGGTACCACTCCGGCGGGAAGCTAAATGGCGTTTCCGTGCGCTGTGCTGGTTCGCCAGAAGCGGCTTAGTCCTGCTGGCCACATGACCTGGAAGCTGTACGCCGGCTCCCTCAGCCAGTAAAGCGAGATGAGCGCCGCAACCCACGAGTCGGCCATGAACTGGACCTAATGGTCAGGGGTCCCTTTACCTTTTACAGAAAATGAACCGAGAGGGCCAGAGCTGTATAAAACTCAAACCCCACCATGTTGATGGCGGCTGTTTCTTTGGCTGCCAGCCACCAGATAGGTTCTTGATAAACTGAGGCACAGGGTGGTTCTCCTGATTTTTTTTTTTTAATGGACATCAACTCTCAATAGGCTGTTTGAACGAGGGTTTGCATAGAAGAGAAGTTATTAGTTGCCCTCGGAAGAGAACCAGCAATCTTGGGGACCAGGTGCACAGCCTGGGAATCATTTTGGACTCACAGCTGTCCATGGAGGTGCAGGTCAATTCTGTGTCCAGGGCGGCTGTCTACCGGCTCCATCTGGTACGCAGGATGAGACCCTACCTGCCCTTGGACTGTCTTGTTAGAGTGGCGCATGCTCTGGTTATCTCCCGCTTGGACTACTGCCATGCGCTCTACATGGGGCTACCTTTGAAGGTGACTCGGAAACTGCAATTAATCCAGAATGCGGCAGCCAGACTGGGGACTGGGAGTGGCCGCCGGGACTTCATACCACCGGTCTTGAAAGACCCACATTGGCTCCCAGGAAGTTTCTGAGCACAATTCAAAGTGTTGGCACTGACCTTTAAAGCCCTAAACGGCCTCGGCCCATTAGACCTGAACTAGCGTCTCCATCTCCATCGTTCTGCCTGGACACTGAGGTCCAGCACCGAGGGCCTTCTGGCGGTTCCCTTGCTGCGAGAATTCAAGTTACAGGGAACCAGGCAGAAGGCCTTCTCGGTGGTGGCACCCACCCTTTGGAACGCCCTCCCACCAGATGTCAAAGAGAAAAAGAACTACCAAACTGTTAGAAGACATCTGAAGGCAGCCCTGTTTAGGGAAGCTTTTAGTGTTTAATAGGTTATTGTGTTTTAGTGTTCTGTTGGAAGCTGCCCAGAGGGGCTGGGGAAACCCAGCCAGATGGGGAGGGGTATAAATAATAAATTATTATTATATTATTATTCTGCACAGCTTGGGGCATGGCCCCAGATGCAGAGAGCAAGTCAATAAAAGGAGGAACACACACCATTGTCTGCAAGAGGGTGCTTTGGGGTTTTGAGTGGTGTCAGTTAGGGAAAGAGCATGCTAAAATGAATACGGATTGATCCCAGCTCTCACGCCAACATTTGCAAATTGTCTTTTTTAAGCTACCCTCCCCTTTTAATAGGGCAGCCACTATTTCAAACTTTTGAATCTCCCCAAGTCCATTGGCAGGATACCGCTTGTTCATACTGGAGCAACCAAGACGCACTGTCGTTTTACAGACCCAAACAGGGCAGCAAATGTGTATTGTCACAAGCTTATATTTAAAACCTACCAGTTGGAAAGCACACCAGTGCAAGTAGATCACGGGTAGGCAACCTCAGGCCCAGGGGCCGGATCTGGCCCAATCGCCTTCTCAATCCAGCCTACGGATAGTCCGGGAATCAGCGTGTTTTTCCATGAGTAGAATGTGCCCTTTTATTTAAAATGCAATTCTGGGTTATTTGTGGGGCCTGCCTGGTGTTTTTACATGAGTAGAATGTGTGCTTTGATTTAAAATGTATCTCTGGGTTATTTGTGGGGCAAAGGAATTCAGTTTTTTTTCCTTTTCCAAAATATCGTCCGGCCCACCACATGGCCCATGGCTGGAAAAAGGGTTGTTGACTCCTGAAGTAGATAAATGGGTACCGCTGCAGCGGGGGAGGTAAACGGCGTTTCCGTGCGCTCTGGTTTCTATCACGGTGTCCTGTTGCGCCAGAACGGTTTAGTCCTGCTGGCCACATGACCTGGAAAGCTGTCAGTGGACAAACGCCGGCTCCCTTGGCCTCAAGTGAGATGAGCGCCGCAACCCCATACAGTAGTACCTCGGGTTAAGAACTTTTGATTCCGGAGGTCCGTTCTTAACCTGAAACTGTTCTTAACCCGAAGCACCACTTTAGCTAATGGGGCCTCCCACTGCCGTGGCACGATTTCTTTTTCTTGTCCTGAAGCAAAGTTCTTAACCCTAGGTACTATTTCTGGTTACAGATAGGTAGCCGTGTTGGTCTGCCATAGTCAAAACAAAAAAAATCCTTCCAGTAGCACCTTAAAGACCAACTAAGTTAGTTCTTGGTATGAGCTTTCGTGTGCATGCACACTTCTTCAGATACACATCTGAAGAAGTGTGCATGCACACGAAAGCTCATACCAAGTACTATTTCTGGGTTAGCCGAGTCTGTAACCTGAAGCGTCTGTAACCCGAGGTACCACTGGAGTCGCCTTTGACTGGACTTAACTTTCCAGGGGTCTTTTACCTTTATATTTAAAACAAAAGTGGTAATGGGGGAACTGAGAGCACGCTATGCCTGTCTTAGGATTCCAAATCCTATGTGGTTTTTTTAAAGGAAGCCAAGTTTCTAGCTTTCATTTCTGCTTAGTGTAAGGAGCAGGGAAATCTCTGTTATGCAAGACTTCTAGCCTGGAGTCTTGCATTTGCTTCTTCCCTAGCAGGGCATGAAGCTACTTGGGGCAAGGGAGCAAGTTACGCAGATCTACTTAGGAATTCTCTCCTTCAGATGCCTCCTTTTCTCACAGATGAAATTAGGCTAAGGTCCCAGGATCCCTTCCCTCCAACCCTGTGACTGCACCTTAAAAAAGGGAAATCTCAGGTTTGCACTGCCCCTTACTAGGATGTTTCTGTGCACTGGAAGAAAGGGATAGGTTATTGCCAATGCACATTTGCATGTGCCTATGTGCAGAAGGGAATGCACCCCTGCAGAGGATAAATGCTCCCCACAACCTGCCTTCACATATGGGCTAGAGCTCTCCAGATTCTAAATTAACAGGTGGCGTGTCAAAGCTTTCTACAAAAGCCATGGTTTTATATACACAGAGAGCATGCAGAGTTCATCGGGGACAGAGCTGGACGCTGTCCTATCTGGGGAACGACGAGAGCTCGTAAACATGCAGCTTGCATCATGCGCCTCGGGAGGGACGATGGGAACGGAGATAAGGTTATTGTCAAAATCTTGTGCCAGAGGGAAGGCTTGAAAGGTCATGCGGCAACAGGTCTCTGCTCTGCTCCCACAGGCAGTCCGAACTCTCTCTTGCTGTGTATTTTAAACGCAAATACCACCTCTGGTTTTGTGATCAGGGTAATGTGTCCTGGAGATTTTCCTGGTTATTGTTCTTAAGCTTTCTTTTGGGGGAAGATGCCCCCTCCACCCAAAAAACCCAGAGCTAAAATCCTTTGAATGGCCCACTTGCAGTCTGCCTCTGAACGGCAGCCAAATCTCTTATTTCTCAGCCCTCGAAATCTCCACCTGTTTTGTCTGCTGCGTTTGTGAGATAGTAAACAGTTCCTCCTACGACTGGCTACCCTCCTCTACTTTCCTCTTGCACCCTGCTCCTCTTCTGCGGGTTTTTCCTCCTGAACGATTTAAGCCTCGCGTCCAATTCCAGGGTTCTAGTTCTCATTTTAAAAGCTCCCTCTTCCTCAAGCTCCTTTAGGGTCACTCTCCCCTGCTGCTACCCCAAGGCGTGCTGATTTTTCATAGGTATAGTGGACGTTCGGGTTGCAAACATGATCCGTGCAGATGCATGTTCGCAACCCACGTCTGCGCACGCGCGGGTTGAGATTCAGCGCTTCTGCACATGCACGGCTGCCGAAACCTGGAAGTAACCTGTTCCGGGTTTCGGTGGTCCGCAACCCCAAAAAACGCAACCTGAAGCGTCTGTAACCTGAGGTATGACTGTACTTTCCTCTGCCCTAGCTAGCCACCTTCTGCTCCTCTCTACACCACTGCCCCCCCTCCTTTTTCTCTCTCCCCCCATCCTCATCACCCACTCAGGATAAATTCTCACCTTGGCGTGCCCTTTGGCGGCAAATTCCATTCTAAGGTCAGGGAGGCAAGGTCCACGCCTCCGCTTTTACCCCTTTCATCTGCCTTGCACTCAGGCACAGTTCCTGGCCTCAACCCTAGGGTAAGGTTAACAGGCTTTTTTCAACGAATCAGGGGACACTTTTCAACTTCTGTGGATTTTGTATGGGGACCGATTTGTAAATCCGGGGACTGTTCCCGGGAAACGGGGGCGCCTGGTAACCTTAGCCTAGGGCAGCTTCCAATTTAAATCAGCTCCTTTCCCCCAGCACCAGGCTGTTTTTATGGGAAGGGGCCAGACCCAAATGCTGACAAGTCCACTACCAGTCAGCATAGACTAATGCAAGACAGATCAGAGAGTGGTATTAAAGCAGCACCTGGGACCTTTTAAAAATATATGAGAAATGACATTTGTGAGCCAGAGAAATGTGAAACTCCACAGAGGGGCGGCAGGGGGTGAAGAGACCAAAGGGGGGGGGGCGGTGGCGGAAAAAGTAAATCTGCTTTATTTGGAGGAAAATCAGCTTGTTCTTAAAACAGGTGAGCTGTTTCCAGCAAGTGGAAGAGGATGGGTGACAGGACAGTGTGAATCTCTTCTCAGACACTGCAGGGTTGCAGACTTGGGGGAATGGATCTGCTCTGTGAGGCTGTGGCTGGGTGGGTGAGTGGGGGGCTGCAGACCTTGCAAATAGCCCTCTTAGCCCCCCCCCCACAAGCAACAGCTTAATAGGACAGAGCCCCGAACAGCTGGAAAGGGAGATACTTCCAAGCAGTGACATGCCCTCAGCTCCAACTCCAAGGTTTGACAGAACATGAGATTGGTTCATCCCCATGAACTCCCCCCCCCACCTTTAAAAAAGCAGTCATGGAACACAATATTTGTTTCTGTTTTGTTTTTTTTTTGTAGTGTTGAAACGGGTCACTGCAGAGAAAGCTACAAGGGCCCAAAAAAGGGGGCCAAAAGAAAAAAGGATGTGGTGTTTAGAGAAGCCACGGTGCTGGAAAAAGGGAGGATCGTTGTGGCAGTGGTACCCATTGCTGGTGGCCGTGTGGGGCAGAGGGTAGGGAAGCTATAGGAGACCACGCGTGGTTTCAGCAGTTGCACGTTTCTTGCGAGGCTTCCCTATGGGTCTTAGAAAAGGCAGTGGGGGCTCAAGCTGGCTATTTTCTGACCTAACAGAAGCCGCCGAGGTGGAAAAGGAGGCGAAACCTTTTGCCTTTTTGCATTCTCCGGCCAAACCAGCAGCTGGTCGTCTGGTGTCCTCCCCAAAGCTGAGGGTCATTTCAGGAAGGGGGAGAGGGAGAGAGATGCCCTGCTCTACTGTATCGTGAAGCGTGGCTTTGATCGGCTTGCTGTGTGATTTGCTGCCAGGGGAAAAAGTCTCCAACTTGGGGCTGCGGGGAAAGCGGACAGATCTATGCTCACCCTTCAAACTTCCCTTCCCAAAAAACGCCTCCTGTCTTGACCCCCGCAACGCCCGAGGCTCAAATTTTGAGAACTACATTGAAGGAATAAAAATTAAAAAGGGATGTGCTAATGTATAGGTAAAAAAAAAAAAAAAGAATGGGGTTTTTTCGTTAAAAAAAGAAAGAAAAGAAGAGGAAGATTTTACTCTACGATTTTGTTTCTCTTAAAACGTGTAGTGAATTGATCTTTGCGAGGGGGCGCTATGATATTCTTGGTGCTATGGCATGGGACGAGATTGGAAGGAACACCTCAGCTGACATGTCACCTGAAAGAGAGAAAGAAGACGTAGAATATGGGTAAGTTCACCACTGTGTATGACTCTTCAGCACGCTACAGGCATAGCTTAATACTGTTTTAAGGGAATTTTCATTTACTGTATTTTTTGCTCTGTAAGAGTTTTTAGAGGGGGGAAAGCAAGAAAAAAAATATTCTGCGCAGAGCATGTAAGCGGCTCTCGCTTTTTCTTGCTTTAAAGCAAGCAAAGCGAGAGCAGCTTACACGGCTTCTCACCCGCTTTTGTGCAGCTCTCACTTTGCTTGCTCATCCCTCGCTGTAAAAGAGGAGGAGACACCGGGACAGGTGCTTTGCAGCGAGGCGGGAGCAGGGATGAGCAACCAAAATGAGAGCTGTGCAAAGCAGGAGAGAAGCTATGTAAGCGGCTCTCGCTCTGCTTGCTCCCGTCCGTCCCTCCTCCCGCTTCGCTGGGAAGCCAGCAGAGCAAGAGTGATAGCTGCGCAGTGGCTCTTGTCCTGCTGGCTTTGCAGCGAGCGACGGATGGGAGCCATGCCTCCGGCTGCGGAGGCATCCCTCAGCTCGCGACTGCAGCGGTAGCCGAGGGATCCCTCTGCCGCCCAGTGCATTCGCCCCACAAGGCGCACAGACATTACCCCTTACTTTTTAGGAGGAAAAAAGTGTGTCTTATGGAGCGAAAACATGGTATTTCATGAAATTTGTACGCCCCTTGATTGTAAAAACAAACTCATAATTTTATTCTTTTTCTAAACTGCTTTGAGTTTCACCACATACCTGGTGGTAGTGGCAGCAGCGGCGGAGGAAGAACAAGCAGCCAGAAAGGCTGCTTTTGGGCTGCTCGTTCCTCCTTCTCCGCCGCTGACGGGCAGAGGCAGCAGGACGAGCGGCTCTTTCTCACCGCTGGTCCCTCCGCCGCCACCCGCCTCTCCCAACTGTTGCTCCTGTGCCTGCCCTTGGGAGCAGCAGAGGCAGCAGTGGAGGGATGAGCGGCCCGAAAGGGCTCCTTTCTCGCTGCTTGTCCCTCCACCTCTGCCGCTTGCAAGAGCAGGCACAGGAGCCGCGATTGGGAGAGGCGTGTGGCGGCGGAGGTACCAGCGGTGAGAAAGGGCTCCTTTCGGGCCGCTCGTCCCGCCGCTGCCACCTCACTTGAGTATAAGCCGACGGGGGGCTTTTTCAGCATAAAAAATGTGCTGAAAGCTGGCTTATACTCAAGTACCGTATTTTTCGCTCTATAGGATGCACTTTTCCCCCTCCAAAAATGAAGGGGAAATGTGTGTGCATCCTATGGAGTGAATGCGGGGGGGGGGGGGGGCAGGCAGGAAAAGCCCCCAAAAGCCGCACACAAGCTCCGTGCAGCTCTTGTGGGCTTTTCCTCAGGAGGGAGAAGGGACTGACGCGGCCAGTCAGTCCCTTCTCCCTCCTCGTAGAAAAGCCCACAGGAGCCGCGCGCTCCTTAAAGGGTGCGCGCAGCTCCTGTGGGCTTTTGCAGGTGGTGGTGGTGGGGTTATTGCCATAGGTGCGCGCAGCCTCCCCCTGCCGGAGAGATTGCGCGGGGCTATGGCAGAAGCCAAGACAGCGAGCGGGATGCGTCCTGCTCGCTGTCTTGGCTTCTTTGCTCTTTGGGGCTGGGGGGAGACTTCCCCCCACCAGCCCCAAAGAGCAGGTCGAAAGGAACCCGAAGCCTCCGGAGCGCAGCGGGAACTCCCACAGCGCTCCAGAGGCTTCGGGTTGTCTTCACTGAATCCTGGAGAGCGAGAGGGGTCGGTGCACACCGACCCCTCTCGCTCTCCAGGCTTCCAAGGTACCGTATTTTTCGCCCCATAGGGTGCACCTAGTTTTCAGAGGGGGAAATCAAGGGGAAAAATATGACCCCACCCCCCACTCTGGGAATTCACCCATCTCCTACAAAAGCCCACAGGAGCCGCGCACCCTTTAGGGAGCGCACGGCTTACTGTGGGCTTTTCGACCAGGAGGGAGAAGGGACTGACACGGCCAGTCAGTCCCTTCTCCCTCCTTGGGGGGAAAGCCTCAAAGAGGTCGGGGAGCAGCGCAAAGGCGACGAGCCACCTTCCCACTGCCCCCCGAGCTTGTAGGGCAGCGGGGTGCCTTCACCCCGCTGCCCTGAGGAGGCTTTGCGCAGCCATCCCCAAGCTAGAACAGCGAGATGGAGCGCTCTGCCTCCCTGTTCTGGCTTTGGGCTTAGCCGTGCAGCCTGCATTCGCTCTATAGGACGCACACACACACTTCCCCTTCATTTTTGGAGGGGAAAAAGTGCGTCTTATAGAGCGAAAAATACGGTAGCTGCCTGAAGGCGACTGAACGCACCTTGTTTTAGAGGGGGAGAACAAGGGGGGGAAATTCTCCCCTCTCTGTGCAGCGCCTCCTGCCGCTTCACTGAAGGCGTGCAGGGCAGAGAGGGGGAGAATTTTTTCTTCTTCTTCTCCCCCTCTAAACAAGGTGCGTCCTATAGAGCGAAAAATACAGTACATACAATAACTAAGAATGTTATTACAGTCATACCTTGGATCTCAAACACCTTCATACTCGGATTTTTTGAAACCTGAACGTCCGACGGGTGTTCCGATTGGCTGCTGGAGCTTCCTGCAGCCAATCGGAAGCCACGCTTCAGTTTCTGAATGTTTTGGAAATCAAACGCACTTCCAGAACAGATTCTGTTTGACTTCCAAGGTATGGCTGTATAATACGTCCCCACCCTGCCAATAGAGCTCAACACACAAGTTCCCCATCTGTGAATTGGGAATGACAGACAGGATTGAGGGGGGCTACACTACCACAGCAATATATGAAGTGTTAGATCACCTTCCCTCTTGCTCCAAACAATTATTAATCCCTGGAACTGATCAACCGCCTTTCTACCTTGGCCCTTCTCAGGGTGATGTATGGGGGGAGTAATCTTGCTCCGCCCCTTACAACACCCCTGCCCTGGTGTGTGCATGTGATGTCCAAGTGGAGATTCAAACCCGCCCCCCCCACAGCACCACCACAAAGCCCCTGCTTAGGCAATCTGCAAGAGCCATTTCCTAAGCCAGAACCAGAGAGAGCAAGCAAGCAAGCAAGCAAGCAAGCAAGCAAGCAGAGCTTTCATCTCTGGGAAAGGCTAGGTACCTTTTTGGAAGTTCTTGCCCCTGCCACCCAGATTGCATCCCTACCTTGCCATCTGCTTAATTTGCGTTCCTCTGGCGCACATTCTTGTCCTTATAATTTGTGGCATTGCTCTTCCTGGAGGGGAAAGGAACGGAGAAGAAACAGGACATGTGAGACCCAGAGGAAATCTCCGAACTTGGTGATGGGCCACAAAAAGGCATCAAGGCAGGAAAATCCAAGTGCCCCCTCCTACCCAACTTAATATAAGGCACCCACATTCTTTCCTGCAGGAACCCTCCCCCGATAATACTAGAACTTGCAGCTAGCTTAGTTGGACGATTCTGACAAGGGGAGCGCAAACGCTGCAGAAGTGCAGAGTTGGAAAGGGTCCTAAGGATCATCTTGTCCCATCCGCTGCAATGCGGGAATATGCGGCTGTCCCATATGGGGATCAAAGCTGCAATCTGGGCACCATGCTCTAAGCCAGGAGTCAGCAAACTTTTTCAGCAGGCCCACTGTCCCTCAGACCTTGTGGAGGGCCGGACTAAAGGGAAAAAAATGAACGAATTCCTATGCCCCACAAATAACCCAGAGATGCCTTTTAAATAAAGGGACACATTCTACTCATGTAAAAACACACAGATTCCCGGACTGTCCGCGGGCCGGATTTAGAAGGCGACTGGGCCAGATCCGGCCCCTAATTTGCCTACCCATGCTAAGCAACTGAGGTAGGCAGAGGTTCCCATGGAAAGTGCAGGGCTCCCAGCCTCTTAGGAAACAAATACTGTATGTGGGCTGGTGGGTCTGACTCCTATTTAGAGATTGCTGATTAAACCTGGCAGCAGCCCATGAAGGGATTGGCTCTTCTCTCCCCAAAATCTGCCCTACTATCAGCTTTCACGCCAAGCATACAGTTGACACTTCCGGCCTTGCTAGATGATCTTTGGAGAGATACAGCTGTTTGTACAGCTCCTCTCCCCCCCTGCTTTTTCCAACGCCTCTAGGCAGTTTAGAAATAAAAATGGAGAGAGAGAGAAGAACCAACCAACAGAACTGTGTGCTTTGCCAGGAACTATAGAATACCTCCAAGAGGCTGCAGGCTTGCTCAAATGGTTAAAGAGATTCAGCCCCTTTCAATAGCATTTCCCACCAATGAGAGAGAGAAGAGGGTTTGGGTAGAAGGAAGGGGCACATGTTTGTGCCTTGATACTCACAGTGGTGCAGACCCTCCATCGTCATCTTCAGGGAGATGGAAGCAAGACGGGGGAAAGAGGGAAAAACAAGATTAGAAAGCCAGTTCTGGATGATTGGTGTATGCATTCCCAACTCACCACCGCCTGCCTGCCTAAAGACACCTGCAGTTTGAAATTTGCCATGCGCATTTTGCACCTGGTTATCGGCCACTTGCGACCAAGGGAAGATACCGGAGTACCAGGATGGCACCTGACATCTCTACCGTATGGGGATCTGGGCATGTTTTCACACACTAATAAACAATCAGAATGGATTTCTGGAACCTAATGTCTTTTTTGTGCAGCCTGAGCAGCAGCAGTAGTAATTTATTTATACCTCACCCATCTGGCTTGGTTTCCCCAGCCACTCTGGGTGGCTCCCAACAGAATATTAAAAACACAATAAAACATCTAACATTAAAAACTTTCCTAAACAGGACTGGCTTCAGATAGTTGTTTATTTCCTTGACATCTGATGGGAGGGCGTTTCATAGGGCGAGCGCCACTACCGAGAAGGCGCAGTCAGCATTAAGAAAAAGACGTCAGAATAGGCCAATATATATGTGGACTGTTCCTGGAACAAGGGACTTTTCTCCTAAGTTCTCAAAGCTCTTAACCTAGCTCAAGGTTGTCACCTGGACTAGCCAGATGTTTAACTGAGAATCAAAGACTTTAGAGCCGCCTTGCCCCAAAATGGCAACTAGGCATTTGGTTTTGCAACTGCAACCTTGGTGTAAGGAGCCCATTTGGTACATAGCTTATATATATCTGAGTTTCTAACACTGCTTGCACACCAACGTTCACCAAGCTGGTGCCCTCCTGATGTTTTGAACTACAACTCCCACCCACCCCCTGGCAGCGGGGTGTACCCCACAACACGACTGCCTGGCCTGTGTGCTTCTGCACGTGATGAAGGGTTCCCTGAAACCCTCCACATGCTCTCAAGAGCGACACAGGATTCCACTGCTGATCTGCCATCCCCCACCCACCTCGCCCATATCATCTCTGGGGGAGAGGGGCTCAACACTGCACTTCCCCTTTAACTAGCTTGTACCGTTAAAACCGTACGAAACTCTGTGGGTACCTCCCTCCGTCCCCTTAGGACAAAAACCCCTCTCTCAAGTTCACCTCCAATATACTGCTGATATAACAAGGGCTGGCCATTGTGGGCTTTGTAAGGTTTAGAGAGAAAGGGAGACCTGGGAAATCTTAAGTTCCCAGGCTCCCCAACTCGGCTGGTGTGGCAGACTGCCGACTCCACACCAGGGAAGCACATTCAAGCGAGCGAGCAAGCGAAGAGGCTGTTTGAAGGCTGAAGCACAACAAAAAGGGTCTCCACATTTCTGGACCGAACCACCACAAGAGCACAACGAAACAGCACTATGAGCTAGAGGAAAATGGCTGCCGGCGGCGTTGCGGGAGCACACACACACCCTTTCAGGTGGACACTATGCTGCCACCATCTGATGGGCAGAGAAGCCCCACATGCCTATCAGCCAAGACTTCTCCCTATTTTTCACAACAGGGGCAGGGACGCTGTCACCCTCCCAATATCACTAGACTCTCAAGTTAAGGGATGATCATGCGAGTTAAGAGTTGTGGAGTCCAGGAACATCTGGGAGGGACACAGCTTCTGCCACTGCTCCTGGTTTTAAATCCTGCCACCGGAAATTAGCACAGGGCTGCTAGATGTCTCTCTCTCTCTTTCACACACACACAGCAGGTAAGACCATCACCAACACACGGGGAAGAGGGCGATGCTTGGAGCTGGCTCTTTCACTTACCACAAGCAGATAACATGCAGCCGAAGAAGAGGAAGGAAGAGTGCAAAGATAATGCCAGCAAGGACACACCACACCACAGAGATAAGGTTTTGGTAAACCTCCTTTACCCCACTGGGGGTTTGTACTGTCTTGCCCGCTCTATGATCAGACAATTGGCCCAATGTCACCTGGTGAACTTTTGTGGCTGAATGTAGCCCTAAGAAGCTTTTTGTTTTGTGTTCTCAACAAAGCATTTTAGGAGCAAGAGATTCATTACATAAATCCGTACTGTAAAGTGTGGACGGCGAGCTTGTGGCCCGCGGGTGCTGGCACTATACTACAACTCCCATTACCCTTTGCTGGTGAGAGATGGAGTCCACGCAGTGGGCCTCCTCTGCGTGGCAGGTATTTCAAAGCAGAGCTTTCAGGAGCCGAAACCCCTGAAGATGGCGACTGCATATTAGGGGGGGGCAGATGCAAAACACAGAGGTAAGTTTAGAAAAACAGCCAAGTGTGTTCTTAGCCCTACACTGCGAAGAAGTGTGTGTGTTGGGGGGTGGGGATGGCATGCAGCTGAAAAGGGCATATCTGCATCGGAGAAAAAAGGCACAGCAGATCTGCAGAAACAGACACCCAATAATAGGATGCACAGAGCTGTTTTATAGGGACTACAGATACTTCCATAGCAGTGACAAAAAACAAAAATTAAAGGCTCCAGTCTGTTGTTTTGCACAGCTCTGTGCCTGTTTCAGGAGACCTCGGAGAAAGGGGAATTGGTGAAACCTCAAGCAGCAGAATTTCTGGTGGCTGTTAACGCTTCCTGTCCCCCATAGAGGACTCTTTTTCCTCCCTCACAGAACCAATCCTTCTCTAGACAGCTCTTTCTGAATGGGGCGGGGGGAGTAAGACTGTGGCCCACTTTGGTCTGTTCTCCACCCCCCTGCATCTTCTCCAACCTGCACACTCACAACAACGCCTGCCAATGCCTCCTCTACTGTTTTCGGACAGCGTAAGAGCAACAGCACTCACAGCCTGGACACTGGAATCGGAAGGGATGGTTTGGTAGGCCACAGGGAATCCGTTCCACAAAAGCGGAACTGCCATGCTGCTCAAGAAAAACTATCTTTTGGGCATTTCCTTTCACGATGGTCATTCTGAAGGAAGGCTAACTGTGAAACAAGGGTGCATGAGCGAGGGTCAATGTGGAAAAGGGGCAAGAATGTTGGGCACGCCTTTAAGGGCTTATCCTGAACGTGGGGAGCTTTCACGTTGCCAGACTATAGTGTTTTTATTGAACTCAGGGACAGATGGTATAAAGCTTGGATTTTGGGGTTGCTGTTGTTTTTTATATAAAAAGGTCCTCTCTGGAAAAAGGCAGCGATCCTCTCTGGATCTTTCATTTGAAAAAATCCACCTAACCATTCAGGGGTAGAGGCAGACCATAACCTTAAAGGAGGTCCTTATGCCTGCCCTGACCCAGTTCTTAAAAGTAAAGACGTCCACTGGGGAGAAAGCCATGTGTTTCCTGTCCCCCAAAGCAGTCTCACTGACCCCTCCCCAGGCAACTTACCGTCAGGGACCTGGTTGGGCAGCCTCCTCTTCTCGTAGATGAAGATGATAGTGACGAGGACCAGCACTTCGGCCACGATCCCAAGGAAGGGCCACAGAGCTGCCAGGCGGCTGCGCACCCGCAAGCTAATCACAGCATTCCCATCGCCCTTCTCGTTGGTGCCGTTGCACATGTAGTCGCCCGGGTCCTTCTCGAGGTGCAGGGAGAGGATGCGCAGCTCTGTCTTGTTACCATCAGACTTGATGAAGAACCGGTCCTCAGAGCCGTTGACGACAGGCTGGGGGAGGAGGAGGAAAGGAAAAGGGTTCGGTGTCGTCTGCTAGGGCAGTGCTTTGAATCGAGGGGCCGGCAATGCAAGTTTCTTCAAAATCCACAATCCAGGGTGAACTCAGCGTTGCGCTGGGTCTCGTGGTGGCCATAAGCAACAAGGGGTTGCTAATAACCCCAAAGTTATGGAAGTGGAAGAGTTACATATGTCGGCTAACAGGCCCTTTACACCATAGTAAACAGTCCTGACTGGGTCAGCCTCTAACAGATGTTTGCTGCAGCTGAAATGTCTAGCAATAGCCAAGTCCAGAAGGGCAGATTTGTTGCCAGACTTCAACATTTTACCTTTGAAGATTAAGAGAGGACAGGTTTGCCAAAATTCCCCTTCAAGGATTAAGTTCTACCTTCGCAACCACTTAAGCATGCGAAATGTGCATTGTTTGACTGTAGATTTTATCAAGGGGCTGGTTAGAGAATAAATACCTGATCCCCTTAAGCAGCGGTTTCCCAAATCTTTAAGCATCTTTTAATATCTTCCTTGAGGGGTCTTAAATAAAGCTATTGTGGAACAAGGCAGCATTATAATCGAAGGTTGTAGTGTCTCTTAGACCTGTTGTCATGGTTAGTTCCTTGTTTATCACCTCATTTATTTTTAAAAAAACAACCACACTGTGGCCTATAAGGTTTTCCACATTACTATAATCGTACGGTCTTGAGTCCCGTTCCCCCAGGTCCCCTCTCTCTGATCATACGCCCTTTAAAAAAATTACTGTATTTTGCGCCCCATAGGACGCTCCGGCCCATAGAACGCACCTAGTTTTTTGGGGGGGAAATAAAGGAAAAAAATTTTATTTCCCCCCCAGGTGCGGGGCTGGAAGAACCAGGTCGGGGAACAGCGGGAAGGCGCGCTCTGGAAAGTTATCAATCTTTAAGGGCCAGTCTGTGTGGTGGCTGCTTACTAGTCCCTAATGGACAATCATAATTTAGGGCTGGAGTTCTGCGGGTCTGTTTAAAAAGAGCAGGGTGGCGTCTGCGAAAAGAGCCACCTTGTATTCCCGTTTGGCCACTGCAACACCCTTAATTTTAGTGGGTCGGTTAATGAAGCATGCTAGTGACTAGGTCAAAAGGCATGGCTGATATGGTGGCAGCTCCCGCCTCACTCCTGGCTTCAGCTGTATTAGTTCCGAGTACAGGCCACAATTTATTGCTTGGGTACACTTGAGGAAATGGGGTGGGGAAGATGGTTTATGCGTGGTGGGGAGTCACAGAAAGCCCCACTGCACACGATCAAAGGCTTCCTCGGCATCAAAAGAAACCTGTGCAGACAGAGGCTGCCTTGCATTTGCCGCCATGTTAATTAGAAGGCGGGGGTGGTCTGCTCCCTGTCGCCGCACAGAACTACTTTGCAAAGGGAGGGAAACAGAAGCAGTGGAGCGTGGGGAAATGTTTGCTTTGGCAAAGAGACTCACCTGGGAAACATCTCCGACCACCCTGAACCAACTCCACTGGGTAACAGGAGGGTACGAGGAGCTCTTGCAGACCAGCATGCCTGTGTCTCCCTCGTTCCCATGCTCTGTCTTCTTGTAGGCATACACGTGTGGCTTCACTGCAAATGAAGAAAAGGGGCGCAAGCAAGATGAGGGACAGCTGGCAATGAGGTACCTGAAGAGAACAGGTGAGCAGCAAGGGCCAAGGATAGCTGGCTGCTTATGAAAGCGAGTTAAAAATTGGCATTAGCGATGAGGGAGGGGATTTTCAGCAAACTGGCCCTTCTCTCTCCCTGCCCCCTGACAAGCTATTGAGGTCACGAGTGACGTGCATTGGTGAAAACGTAAGCAGATGGGCTAGTAAAACCGATGCAAGTAAAACCGAAGAATGGATGCTTTTGAATTCTGGTGCTGTACAAGACTCTTGAGAGTCCCATGGACTGCAAGAAGACCAAACCTCTCAATTCTGAAGGAAATCAGCCCTGAGTGCTCACTAGAAGGACAGATCCTGAAGCTGAGGCTCCAAGACTTTGGCCACCTCATGAGAAGAGAAGACTCCCTGGAAAAGACCCTGATGTTGGGAAAGATGGAGGGCACAAGGAGAAGGGGACGTCAGAGGACGAGATGGTGGGACAGTGTCATAGAAGTGACCAGCATGAGTTTGACCAAACTGGGGGAGGCAGTGGAAGACAGGAGGGCCTGGCCTGCTCTGGTCCAGGGGGTCACAAAGAGTCAGACACGACAAAATGACTAAACAACAACAAACAACAACAACAACAACAACATGATCTTTAAGACTGCAGTCCTGAGGGCAAGAACCGCCTTTACTACCACTGACTTTTGCAAGTTGCTCTGGGAGCGAGCGGGGTAGAACAGCTTCAGGCAAAAAGGGTTTGCGTCCAACAAGCTCATGCTCAGAGCAGACCCACTGAAATGAAAGGGCCCGAGGAAGCTGCCTTATAGTGAATCATCCCACCGGTCTACCTAGATCAGTAATGTCTACACTGATAGTGGTCCTCCAGGGTTTCAGGCAGAGATTCTCTCCCAGCCCTACTTGCAAATGCCCTTGGGGACTGAACACCGTACCTTTGGAATGCAAACCATGGAGCTAGTGTCCTTTCCCTAAGAGTAAAAGGTAAAGGTAAAGGGACCCCTGACCATTAGGTCCAGTCGTGGCCGACTCTGGGGTTGCGGCGCTCATCTTGCTTTACTGGCCGAGGGAGCCGGCGTGCAGCTTCCAGGTCATATGGCCAGCAGGACTAAGCCACTTCTGGCGAACCAGAGCAGTGCACGGAAATGCCGTTTACCTTCCCGCCACAGTAGTACCTATTTATCTACTTGCACTTGACATGCTTTCGAACTGCTAGGTTGGCAGGAGCAGGGACCGAGCAACGGGAGCTCACCCCGTCGCCGGGATTCGAACCGCCGACCTTCTGATCAGCAAGCCCTAGGCTCTGTGGTTTAACCCACAGCGCCACCCACGTCCCTTCCCTAAGAGTAGCCGTGCCCATTAATCCCAGTGGGTCTACTCTGAGCAGAGGGGATGTTGGACACAACCCTCGGGCACCTCCATCAGTGCCCAAAGGACAAGGGCAAGCAGGTATGCTTCTTGACATGGACAGAAAGCTGAGAGGACCAGGAGCAGGTCAACCACCAGCAAAAGTGCCCATGTAAAAGAAAAATCCTTTGGCCCACGTTTAGCAATGATACAGCAGCAGCTGGAGAAGGCAGAAGCAGGACGAGTGTTCGGGTTCCCCCGCAGAGCTCACCTTTCACGTACACAGTTGCTTTGGAAAGGGGAACAGTTTCGAAGATGCAGTGGTACTCCCCTGAGGTGTCGTGGTCCACTTTTGGGATTCTGGAACGAATGAAACAAAGCACGTCAGCAGCAAGACGAGCAGAGCACACCCCAGTTATCGCTGCATGAGAACACAACCACCCTTATTTTTTCTGGGCCAAGATTGGGGTGGGATGTGGGGCTCGTCTGTGACCCTCAAGCCATCTTCTGCTGTTTATGGAGTTTGCTACTACAAGATGTGGCCATGGCAGTTAGCTGAGATGTCTAAAAAGAATGAATAAATGCCTACTAGCTTCTATTGGCTATAGCAGCTGAAAGGAACCTCCAGGTTTATTTGATTTATTAATTAGATTTACATACTGCCCTTCATCAAAAGATCTCAGGGCAATTCACAACATAAAAGCACATATAGTTAAAACAGAAACAGCAAAACAGTACCCCCACCACCACATGCAAAAGACTGCATAATATCAATCAGCCAAAGGCCTGTTTGAAGAGGAATGTTTTTGCCGGCGCCTAAAGATATATAAGGTAGTGCCAGGCAGAGGTTATGGGGCAGTTTACCTCGGAATGCCAAGCTGCCAGAAGCAGCAGAAGGCTACTGACTTTTTATGCCCCAATGGGGGGCTTCTCAAAGGCACCCTGCAGCCCACGGTGGGAGAACAGGATGGTGAATTAGGACGGGGGCTGTTTTGCCCGATCCAGCAGGGCTCCTTTTGGGGTGGTTAAAAGGATCTTGCATCTTCAGAGGCAGTCTACCCCTGAGTACCAGATGCTGGGGCCAGTCAACAGGTGAGGGCAACAGGTGAGTGCCCTACTTATGATCACACACACATATATAGTATGGGCAAGTCACAACTGTAGATTTATATCCCAGCTTTTTCTCAGGGTGGTGTACATGGGTTCTTTCCCCCCTTCTCATTTAATTCTCACAACTACCCTGTAAGGTAGGTTGGCAGTGAGACTTGCTACCAAGGTCAGTCAGTGAGCTTTATGGCTGGGGGGTGCGATTTGAACTCTGGTCTCCCAGGTCTTAGTCTGACACTCTAAACACTATAACACAATGTAAAACCATTTAGCAGCAGGCTGTAGGTGGCAAACAGCAACCCTGTCATCTTGCCCAAGTATAACCCTGTGTCTGTGATCACCTCCCCAAGTGAAAAGGCAGGTCAAAGGGGGGAAAGGCCTAATATATTTACTCCTGAGTAATCTCCCAGAAGAGGCTACAAGAGGAACTGAGTGCAAGTGACAAGGGCAGGAGACAAATTCCATTCAGAATCCACCCCCTCCGCCACCAAGAGACTGAGATTCCCACACACAAAAAAGGAGCTTTAAAAAAAAATCAGCGACACAGGAAGGGAAATCACTTGGCGGGGTGGGAAGAAAATATTTATCCACCTTGAGCCCAGAGAGGCAATGGCATCCCAGTTAGGAAGCTTGTTCAGACCAGATTTCATGGATTAGCCAGACCTCCCAAACACAAACACACACACCATATCAATTATTTTGGAGAGGGAGAGTTGCTGTGCTGTACAAAAGGGAGGCAGAACATTCTGGGGGTGAGGTGGGGGGAGAGATGACGACAAAACAGGGGGAAGGCCCCATTTTGTTAAGATCTCCAGCAGGTCAGGAGCTCTTTCCTCTCCCCCCTGATTTCAACACATGCAGACAGAGAGCCCAGTCAGAGAATTGAGGGCACGAGAGAGGGTTGCTGGGGGCGGGGGAAAGATAAATACTTTTAATCCTCACTCAGCTCCCTGTTGCTATGGGGAGAGAGGCACGTCTGCTCGGCTGCTGCGTGGAAAAGGACGTGACTCCTCTCCTGCCAGATGGACTTCTGCCAGCGGGATGGGTGGGCAAGAGGGAGACTAAGGGGGGTGGACGGTCCACTCTGCCATTGTAGCGAGGGCTGGCATTTCAGTTCACAGGAACCCAGACATCCAGGGCAATGAGGCTGTCATGGGAATGCTTCGAGGGCAGAAGGAAATGTGATACCGGACCTACAGTGAAGGTTCGTTTTCTGTGGGGATCCTCTCCCCGAGATTCAGGATGCAAGGTGTGCAATCTCTCACACACTCTTGCACGGCAAATCAGTCCGCACAGAGAGCATTCGGCCCTCTGCCCTTCAGCAGAAATGTATGAAGTGGTGTGTCGAAATGCAAGCACAGAATTTGACCGAATCAAGCTGTTCATAGAATCACAGAATTGGAAGGAACCACAAACGGTCGTCCAACCACCTGCAAAGCAGGAATCTCAACTAAAGCATCCATGATGGATGGCCATCCAACCAACCTCTGCTTAAAGACCACAGAGGAAGGAGAGTCCACAACCTCCTGAGGGAGTCCATTCCACTGACGCACAGCTCTTACTGTCAGATAGTTCTTCCTGCTCTTTAGTCTGAATGTCATTTCTTGTAAAGGGGGAGGCCGATAGAAGGAAATGCTACCTGCCGTGGGTCTCACAAAGAGGCTGAATAACTGAGGTCACTTTCTCCCAGCCTCTGTATCTTGTTTACCAGGAAAAGGCATTGTGTGTTTTTTTTTTTAAGTTGGCGCGGTGCACAAAGGCTCCACAGGGGGCCCAGCAGCAGCAAGCATTCCTACACTCTCCCCAATGGGTTTATTCCTTTGTTTCAACGAGGCTTTCATTGTCCGGCCAGTTATCAAACACCAGCAACGCACAGCCAGAATGCAGAGTTGTACACGCAGGTTAGGAGCAGGACTTGCGAGGAACAGCATGTGCCACCTTCTCCTCTAGAGGAGGAGTTTATGATCTTCTCAAATATGGAGTCTCGCCCTACTCTCCCTTCCCCAGCAGTCCTGGCAAAATAGTGCTAAACCCCGTTACACTGCAATTAGAATTAGATAGAAGCCTTTTAAGACTCAGGAAAAGGGGGCTGAATGTGGCCCTAGAGAATCTCCCAAGCTACACCCATCACCCAGCCTGATTCATAACCTCTTCAAGTGTTTCTGACTGGCCGGAAAAGTGTCCTTAACTCTGAGTACAGTGGTACCTCGGGTTAAGTACTTAATTCGTTCCGGAGGTCCGTACTTAACCTGAAACTGTTCTTAACCTGAAGCACCACTTTAGCTAATGGGGCCTCCTGCTGCCGCCGCGCCGCCAGAGCCCGATTTCTGTTCTTATCCTGAAGCAAAGTTCTTAACCTGAAGCACTATTTCTAGGTTAGCGGAGTGTGTAACCTGAAGCGTATGTAACCCAAGGTACAACTGTAATAATAATAATAAATAATAATAAATAATAATAATAATAATAATAATAATAATAATAATAATAATTTATATCCCGCCCTCCCCAGCCGAAGCCGGGCTCAGAGCGGCTAACATCAAATGTATAACACATTAACATAAAATCAGACAATCAATTCAAATCAGATCAGGATCAGAATAAAATCTAATCAGATGGCAACCCGCAGATTAGGGTTGGGGACCTTAAATGCTCACCAGGCCCAACTGTTTGTGCTGAACTTATATGGGCCTGTGAGAAAAATTGGGAGGCCACTTTCATGCAAGTTGTTATGAAAGGGGAGAGGGAGTCAGACTGAACCCCGACCAAAGGCCTGGAGGAAAAGCTCCGTCTTGCAGGCCCTGCGGAAAGATGTCAAGTCTTTCCCTTGCCTGGATGGAGGACACAGAAAGGTGGTGTGCATAGAAACTAGTGTACTGTACACAGGGGGAATCTGCATGTGTTACTCTGCTCACTTTTGACTCTCACCCCACCTCACTACTGGCTCGTGGCCCTCAGGAGACAGCTCAGAACATTGGGCTGACAAAAAGGTTCGCTGCCCCTCCTTTAGGGGACCCAAGGGGACCCAAATGCTCTTCAGTACAAGTGCAATAATAAAGCAAGGCAAACAGGGAACCCGCAGTTCTGCTTGTTTACTTTGCCACAGGGTGTGTTTTACTGCTCTCAGGCAGAAAAGAACAACACCCAGCCTCTCTCACACGCTTTGCATTGAGCTTCAGAAGGGAAATAATTCCTTCTGCCCCCACCAGCTCAAGCAAATAGGGGGAGGCTGGGACTGGGGGGACATTTCAAGAGGCTCCATTGGACGGCACCAAAACAAGAAGCTGTTCCCTTCCAGAGGTCCAATGGATGAGGACAGCAGGGACTCCCCATGGCAAAGTCAAGGTCAAGCTGCAATCCTGTGCACTTACCGGAGAATATGCAATACTGAAAACAATGGGGCTTGCCTTCCAACTAAATCTATGGGCTGTGGTTCAAAAGCAAAGCACAGAAGGTGTTGGGTTCATTCAAATCCTTACAGCATACCCAGGTGGGGCTAAGAGACAGACTGATCCTGGAGAGCTATTGGCTGTCAGTACAGACAGTAATGGGCTAGGTGGACCAATGATCTGATTTGGCAGCTTCTCTATGAGCATGAGATGGTGGTGGAGGGAAAGAAAAACAAGGAGGTGACCCTAAAGTTTTGGTTTGCCTCGAGGAGCATTATTGAGAGCCAGCTCTCCATTTATGTGTGCTCAAGACATGCATATCACTGCAAACCTGGAAGTGGCACTTAAAGGAACAAAAATGGCCCCCAAAAAGAGTGCGAAAATGGCAAACTGGTGTGAAAAGAGCGTCTAGCAATACCACAAGCCTTTGCAAGTGCAATCCGAGGAGCGCTGCTGTTATTTTCAAGGGTTTTTCAAGGGTTTCCAGAGGGTCTCTGCGGGCTTTGTCAATGGTGTTCCCAAAATATGCAATTTCACTTAAACATGCAGTGCTTTGGAATGTAACCCCCGCATAAATGGGGAGTTGCCTGTATTGATTCGAGGGTTGGACTATGACCCGAAAGACCCAGTTTCGAATCCCCACTCAGTCATGAAGCTCACTGGGTGACTTTGGGCCAGTCAGTCTCTCCGCCTGCCCTACAGCGGATTCTTTCTGGCAGCACCAATACATTCAAGCCCTTTCTCTCTTTTTAAAAAAAGTTTGACGTTGCCCTTGGGTCCTGCCTGCAGGCTTCCCATAATAGACATCTGGTTGGCTCCTGTGAGAACAGAGTGCTGGACTAGATGGGCAATTGGCCTGATTCAGCCAGGCTTTGCTTACGTTCATAATAAACCTATCTGCTCTGTTCTGGATTTAAAAGAATTGCTCACCCAGAGAGCTTGTTGGCATGGTCGAGAACATGGTAAACAATGCCTCCCCCACCCGGCAAAAAATATATTAAAAGATACCTACAGGTATGAGGTAAATTCTGGTGAAGTCTCATTCGTATCAAGCCTCGTTCCCCCCTTCTCCCAGTAGTGGCCTTTGACGGCGGTTGGCGGTTCGGTGATGTTGCAGGAAATGATCACGTTCGAGCCGGCAGTCACCTCGGGAGTGGCTGAGATTTTGGCCCCTGCGTTGTCGATATTTTGGGGGAAAGAATGAAGGTAAGAGAGGAAGTTAGGAAGACATAGCCAAGGTGGGCTGCTTTCAGAAGAGAAAGGGGCGGTGGGAGAGGACACCGTTGCCGCGTGGAATTCAGTCACCTGTAAGCAGAGGTAAAGTGGCCTAGTTGTCACATAATGGCCTGTTTCTAGGCCTGCCCTTCCCCAAACTGCCTTCCAGAGGCATTGGACTACAACTTCCAGTGTGCTGGCTGGAGATTACATGCGTGTTGTAGTCCAAAGCATGTTGAAGGCAATGGCATGGGAAAGGACCTGTCCTAGGCTTTGCATAGCACCTAACTGTAAAGCCTCAAGTATGTGCTTGTTGGTCATATGACTGTGAAAACGTGAGGTGAGCCCCAAATGGGTTCCAGAACAAGCCTCCAGAGAGCTTAGGAGGCAGAGGCAGTTTCCCGTGCTCACGGCTATTCTAGTCGAGTCCGATGCCAATGATTGCTACCAAGATTGAGAAGTCAAGCAGGTTTACATGCACATCTGGCCAGTTTGCATCATTTCTTCTGGGTACCAAGTTTGCGGGTTTATGAGGGGTGTTAAAGAGGAATTAGGCATTCGGTACACACTCCACCCACATCCAAACAACTTGGATTCTATCAAGCGACTCTCGTGAAGTGAAACTGCACCACCACGTGCTCTGCATGTGTAAAAATGGCCAGGTAGCAGCGACAGCAGCAGTCTGCTGAGATTCTTGAAGCCGGATGTATGGCGAGGAGGCCAGCAACTTTCGTAGTAGCAGAACTGCCAGCTGCCATGCTCTGAGTACCAGAGGGAGATTCCTACTCAGTACCTTTTGAAGTGCAGTGAAATGCTGGCAAGGAAGGCAACTTACAGCAACTGGTCTGCGCCCAAGGACCACTTGTTCTCAATGCCTGGGTCTCATGTGACAGTTTTTACATTTGCTCTTTTTCTGGGGGAATTTGCTGCATCCAGCAAATAACGGTCATGCCCTATACTGACCTGAGGAGTCATTTCATATGAAACCACCTGGACACAGGGACCGAAACCTTTGAAGAGGTAACAGTTAAAACAGGCAGCTTTGCCCCCACCTAAAACGAATCCCTGGAGCACCCAGATAAGCATATCCAGGCCAGTTATTGTGGCCAAGCAGAGTATCAGTTTCAAGGCAAATTTTGCAGACATTCCCCCACCCTCAATAACCAAACAGATACTTGACAAATCCCCCACCCAGCCCTTTCTCCTCAGAGACAGGGGACTCTACAGGGCTGAAAGACACTCTTGAGATTTGCCTCTCCGAAAAGAAAGATATTTCCATTTACCAAGAAACGTTATTATTATTTATTTTTCCAGCCATCAATACAGCAGTGGTTTTCAAAGTTTGACATTTAGAGTCTTGTTTCTTGCACTGAGCTCTGGACACCTGGCAGGGAATTCCCAGTCCACCGCAGAAGCAACTGGGGCTGTGTGAGAAAGATAAATATGGACCTACCGATAAAACCTCTGGGGGACTTGCAGTAAATCGGCAAAGTGATTCCTGACTCCCGGTTGCAAATTGAATTCTTCCCTGCCCTAAACCACGCTGCTGATAGGAAGGAAACTTCAGGGTAAAGACTGCTGCGTGGAAGGACTCTGAGCTCAGTTTGGTTCTGAATTTCGAAAACAAATCCCTGGACTCCAAAATTCTTACATTTTAAGTGTTGAATCCAACTCTGTCATACTCTGAGTGAACCCACTGAAATTAATGGCCCTAAGTCAGGTATGTCCCTTAACTGGAGTTGGACGCAACCCTAAACATATGGCCCCATGTTCTCTTGGTTGGTGAATCTTGGGAGTGCCAATAAAAATTAAAAGCAGATCCCACAAGCCTCATGCCTGCGTACAGTTCATAAGTGGCCCTTGGCCAGCTCTGCTGGGTCAGCCTATAAGAGTAGAGTGTGTACTGTAAACCCATTCCTGAGCATCACAGGGAGGGAAAGAAAGCTTTAATATCTGTCTTTATGGATCTTCTCATTAAGGAACCCCCAATAAGCTTCCAAGGAACACAGGAAGCTGCTTTCTACTGAGTCAGGTTCTCCATGGTTTCAGGCAGGGGGGACATTCTCTACCTGGAGATGCTGCCACTGGGAAATGAACCTGGGATTTTTCCCTGCATGCAAAGCAGATGTACTCCCAAATGGAATTTGAAAACCACTGACAAGAGGGCAACGAGCAAGGGAGGGCACTTCCTTTTGTAAAAGAATCCAAACGGAGGCACGTCCAATTCAATTTGCTTGCTCAGCGTTTCGGCCACAAAAGACAAGCCGTTTCTCTTGTCGCTGGACAATCTGGACTTTCAGCTCAGCACAGGGTGGGGGGAAGGGGGGGAGAGAAAGGGGGAGGAGGCAAATAAGCTAAAACTGGTTGTTCCACAGCACAAACAACTAGACGCGTTCCCCCACCCAGTGCTGCGCAGAGACAGTGCTACGGCCATTTCAAAAACGGTTGCAATTACACCACAAGCAAAACAAGACCGTTTCAATCCAGCTCGCGACAACCAGTAACCTCTAGCAAGGTTGGAAAGCATATCAAAAGCAGGGGTGGGGGGAAAAGCAAGACTGTGTGTGTATACAGAAAGAGAGATACGCAGGAAAACGAGATGAAAAGAGGTCGGTTTGCTGGCGGCCGCCAAAAGCAGAGCCACTTTCAATTTTGCATTTCGGAAAAGGAACACCAAGGAGGACAACGTTGGCATTCAGGGTCCAGAAGCCAGAGGGATCGGTCAGGACGGTGTGGTTCTGATGGGGAAGTTACAACCCTTTTTGAGCAGGGCCACTCGCCAGGAGTGAAGGGGAGGATGCGGGTGGGGTTGGGGGAGGTCTCTTGGATTTCTACACAGTTAGGGCGGGAAGGTGCAGCAGGGTTCTCGGGAAGCCATGGGACATGGGTGAAAGGGGTGGCGGGGGCGTGGCAAAGCTAAGAGACACGGCTGTGTCCAAGCAAATGCCACCGCCAAGGGGGATTGGGGCAACTGCCACTCACGCTCAATGACAATCACGTTCGCCTGGGAACGGATCCACTTGACTTTGGGGCTCTTCGACAAGTGGTTGCGGTCGGGGTCGTTGCTGGCCCGGCACTCGTAGGTGCCCGAGTCGTTGAGCGTGAGGTTGGTGACGTAGATGGCGCTGGTGGAGTGCTGCTTGTAGGTGGCGTTGATTTTGACCCGGTCCTGCCAGGCCCCGTCCCACAGCTGGACGGCTGTCTCGTTGGGCTCGGCCCCCTCGAACCACCACTGGATCTCGGGGATGGGGCTACCGACAGCCTCGCAGTGCAGCTCCACACTGTCCTCCGTCAGCTTCTTTTGAGACAGCGGCGACTTTATGAAGCCAGCTGCGAGGCGGGGTGGGGGGAGAGGCGTTAGTGCAAAGTATTATTAGTGCGAGAGAGAAAGACAGTGAAGAGAAAGAGATCAGCAGCCTTTAAAAAATATATTAAAGAAGAACCAGCATGGTAACTCACATCAGCACACTCACTCCACAAACGGCCACTTCTATTACATGTAGCTGAAAATACTGAGTAAGAAGAATCTTTGTCCTCCCCTCAAAAGACAGGGGTGGGCGAGTGGCTCTTGCACTCTCCGTTAGTAAGTCCCATTCTTCTTTTTCAAGCTTTGCCTGCACAAGAACTTGGGGCATACAAGGAACTGGTGGAAAACTAGACAGGAAGCACCACAACACTGGTTTTACACTTCTTGCTGTTTAACTGTTTAAGTCCTGGGTACATTGGGTCACTGTGTCCTTATCAGAAGGCTTGACAAGCTTCAGAGGCAATTACAGGGCCTTCAACAGAAAGGCCACATGCAGAACTTTGGACGTGCTCAGAAGAAGGTGAACGAGGCAACAGCATTGCAGCTCCAGATGCTTTACTTATGCAGCAACACAGCAATCAGAGGCTCTCAATCCATACCCATCCCAAACAAAAAATGCTGGAAAATGGACTGTTTTGTTATTTATTTGCTCTTCATATCCCACCTTTCCTCCAAGGAGCTCAAGGTACATGGCTTTCCCCCTCTCCATATTATTGTTGCAACACCCTGTAGGTTAGGCTGAAGGGCAGTGACTGGCCCCAGGTCACCCGGCAAGCTTCATGGCTGAGTGTAGATTTGAACGCCAACAGTATTAGAAACTGAGATATGAAGGCTAGGAGTTAAATGGCACTTTAAACCTAGGTTGTGGGCGCAACAACGGAATGTCTAGGCACTTTTTTATAAGAAGAACACAAAGCTGAAAATGAAGGAACGGCAGCTAAAATATCGTCTTCATTTTTTCACACAGTCTAGTCCTTCCCCTGCCCAACCCCCTAATATTCTTAAGAGGGGCCCTTCTCCGGTCTTCAGAGAGTAGCTAGAAGTGGGGAGGCAGAAAAAGGTTCTCCTTTCCTTCCACTCTGCAGTTTTAATCTGAAATCTTAGGCGCAGTAATGCACCCAGAGTTCAGAAACTGCTTTCGCAAAATGCACCTAGGAGTTTCAAACACTGAATGCCAGTCCCTCAGGTCCAAATCCACCACCTTTAACCACTGCACCACATTAGCTATATAATCAAAGCACAGACAGCTTTATCTCAACCAAGACATTCTTGTCTTTCTCGTGTGATAGATGAAGGAGGGGAGCAATTCCTCTTCAGAACTAGCATGAAAGTTGGCACACTATTGTGAAAATCATGGGCCCTAGGCAAGACTGCTGAGAATGCGAAAAGGTGGTATACTGCACCCACAATGTACTGTGGAAGTCACAGGGCACAGGTTAGGGTCTTGGTAGATTCTTTGATAACCCCAACCCTGGGCTCTACCATCAGAAGATAAACTAAAAAGTACAGGGTTAAGTACGGAGATTTCCACAGGGTACCTAAACATGCAGATCACAAGTTTGTGAGCCTTTACTATGAACAGTAGCCAAAACTTGCCCAAGTTTTGCATTTAGCCAAGAAAGCTAGCATGTTGCACACTCATGGTGCTTAGTTGTCTTTGCAGATTTTATTTTTGGACTGATTTTCACGGAGCAAGGCAACTTACAGCAAAAGGGTTTACAGAGAAGCCCTTAGCTTAGACATCTTCACTCCAGTCCTATGCTCAACTAAACTCAGAATCACGCAAAGCACCCATGTAAGCAATGGCTCCCCAATTTTCTTCCATTTTGGGGGCAGTGGGATGAGCAGTTTAGGTGGGGATGCTCAGGCAGGTGTATTTTCTTAATAATAATAGTAATAATAATATTAATAGGCAGTTTGCTTAAGCCCTCACTTGCGAAAGACTTCCCACTTGCTTTCCAGTTCTGGCTACTGGTCTTCATTCCCTTCTGCAGAGAAGAGGGAAACAGGGGGACAAGTCATTAAGAAGGAAGCTAATGGCGGGGGACATTTGAGGCACCGTGCACGTCAACTGCCACACAGTTTAGCAATTGTCGCAGGAGTGTTTGCCCTTGCAGCAAACCCCGATGGTTCCTTTCAGGCATGCCAAGGGACAAAGACAAGCCCTGCAACGCAATTATCAGAAAGCGGAGCACCCCTCCGACAGGGAGCACGTCCTCACATGCCCCACACTGAGGTGAACAAGCATGCCTTTGCCTCCTCCGCCAACGGTCAGTTGACCCAAATTGGGTAACTCTTGGCACGCAGCCTGGCCATAGTGACTGGGTGCCATTGTGTGGGGTTCCGATTCCCGGTGCTGCAAGCCAGCTCCCTCTGCGCTACTAGCCAACCTGCCGTGCTGCGTCAGACCTCAGTGTGCTTGCTCACTCGGCTGCGCAATCGGATACAATATGCCCTCGCAAAATCTTAGCGTAAGCCAAAAATTAAAAACCGAGCAAAAAATAAAAGTTCAAGGAATCTTTTCTTTAACCAAGGCTGGATAAACCTTGCCCAAAGCAAATAGCATTAAGAGCCAGAACAATGCCGAGGCTACCCAGGGGAAGACAGAGTGAACAGAACATTGAAGCGTCAAGAGGGGCTAGATTCAGAATGCATGTAGGGGCCATAGCTGTCAACTTACAGATTTGAAAATAAGGGACCAGCCGCCTCGAAAATAAGGGACCAGCAGCCAAAGTAAGGGATCAACAATTACTTTGATAAAATACATATTTTGTTGCGTGCAAATGGCTTTAGATACCTATTAGGTCCTATAAATTACCACATAGCATATATTCAACACAAAAAAGCAACAATTTGTTGTTGACAAAGCACAGCTGGACATAGATAGGGCCCCATTACCTTCAGTAGCTTATTTAAGGGACATCATCAATAAGGGACAGGAGCGGCACATGGCCCTGGGATAAGGGACTGTCCCGCCAAATAAGGGACGCTTGACAGCTATGGTAGGGACATGCGAAGCTGCCTTATACAGTGAAGAAGAAGAAGAAGAAGAAGAAGAAGAGTTTGGATTTGATATCCCGCCTTTCACTCCCCTTCAGGAGTCTCAAAGCGGCTAACAATCTCCTTTCCCTTCCTCCCCCACAACAAACACTCTGTGAGGTGAGTGGGGCTGAGAGACTTCAAAGAAGTGTGACTAGCCCAAGGTCACCCAGCAGCTGCAGGTGGAGGAGCGGAGACGCGAACCCGGTTCCCCAGATTACGTGACTACCGCTCTTAACCACTACACCACACAGTGTCAGACCTTTGGCGTACCCAGTTCAACATTGTATCAAATCAGCAAAACTGACGCTGCAGGGGTTCAGGCGGGGAGAATACTTCCTGAAGATGCTATCAGGGATTGAACCTGGGACCTTCTGCCTAAGAATGTGAAAAGAGCCAATGCCCATCTAGTTCAGCATCCTGTTCTCACGGTGGCCTACCAGATGCCTGTGGGAACACCACTAGCAGGATCCGACCATAAAAGCACTCTCCCCTCCTGCCGTTTCCAGCAACTCTAGTATAAACTCTAGTTACTTGTCAAGACAATATGCCTTTTAATTGTTTTAGCAACCAGACAGAGTAGGCAAGCCTGTTCAGGGAAACGGTTGCAAAACGGGAAACCTTATTCATGCCTGGGGTTTTAAAGGTTTGCTTTCTTCAGAAACAAGACACTGTCAGGGCCAGAAGCCCTGCTTGCACATCCATAGCACGCCTCTTTAGAGAAGGTAGGGAAACCTCAAGAGAGGGGTCAAATGTGGGACTCCAGGCTCCTCTGTTTGGCCCTGGGAACTTTTCCTAGGTCTCACTGGTCCTCCTTGACACACTCCTTAACTGTTTTTGCTTAGCTCGGATATGTCCTTGAACTTGCTTGTCTGTATGGAGGACAGCCCACTGTACCAAAGGTTTAAATCTGCACACCTCTGGCTTAACGTACCATGGGCATGCCCTGTGTGACCTCAACCAAAGAATCTAAGGTTGCCTTTTTTTTAAAAAAAACTTCTACGTAAGGCTAGTCCTCACTCAACCCAAATAGCCTCTCTTTAAACTCTTCCCAGTACATCATATGCAAGAAAACTGAGTCATCACATCCAAGAGAACTTTAACTGGCTTTAGTCACGGGAACAACTGGTGGTTTGCATCACATCCTGTACAGTCAGGTCTGGCTATGTTGCCTGGTTTGCTACCCGGAAAAACCCATGTGAGGGGCGAGGAACCTGTGGCCCTTGAGACATCGCTCGACTCCAAGCCCCATCACCCCCAGCCACAATGGTCAGGAACAATGAGAGTTCAGCAAGATCCAGTTGGTCACTGGCTCCCCACCCCATGTCCTGCCCTGCAAGCTTCCCAGAGATGTAGGCAGACAAGCTCCTTTAGACAACAGGAATGGGGAAGTCCAGGTCTGAGGAGGAGAAATTGGTCCTCCAGGCCTCTCCTTGTGTATTTGTTGAATCTGTCTGCAACCTATGGAAATGCTTCTTACCTGCCTGGATGGAGGATAGAGATGTATGTCTATCCCTGTATCTCTCTGGCTTTCCCCCAACCCAGCTTGGATGGGGAGACAAATATGGCCACCAGCCTGGAAATGCCCCCCCCCTAAAGGTAAAGGTACCCCTGCCCGTACGGGCCAGCCTTGACAGACTCTAGGGTTGTGCGCTCATCTCACTCTAGAGGCCGGGAGCCAGCGCTGTCCGCAGACACTTCCGGGTCACGTGGCCAGCGTGACAAGCTGCATCTGGCGAGCCAGCGCAGCACACAGAACGCCGTTTACCTTCCCGCTGGTAAGCGGTCCCTATTTATCTACTTGCACCCGGGGGTGCTTTTGAACTGCTAGGTTGGCAGGCGCTGGGACCGAACGACGGGAGCGCACCCCGCCGCGGGGATTCGAACTGCCAACCATGCGATCGGCAAGTCCTAGGCGCTGAGGTTTTACCCACAGCGCCACCCGCGTCCCTGGTCCCCACCCCTTTACAGAGCTTAAAAAACG